ACACTAATGCTAATATTAAGTTTTTTAAGCAGAAAACAATAAAAAATACCCTTAAAAGTATGCTGCATTAAGTACTATTATTGTAAGAGTAAGTTTTTAAGATTTATCTGAAAAATTCTGAAATTTGCTTAAGAACTGAAATCTTAATTCTAGTTTAGTTCTAGTTCAGTTCAGTTCTAGTTCAGTTCTAGTTCAGTTCTAGTTCAGTTCTAGTTCAGTTCTAGTTCAGTTCTAGTTCAGTTCTAGTTCAGTTCTAGTTCAGTTCCAGTTCAGTTCTAGTTCCGTTCCAGTTCAGTTCTAGTTCAGTTCTAGTTCAGTTCTAGTTCAGTTCTAGTTCAGTTCTAGTTCAGTTCTAGTTCAGTTCTAGTTCAGTTCTAGTTCAGTTCTAGTTCAGTTCAGTTCTAGTTCAGTTCTAGTTCAGTTCTAGTTCAGTTCTAGTTCAGTTCTAGTTCAGTTCTAGTTCAGTTCTAGTTCAGTTCTAGTTCAGTTCTAGTTCAGTTTTAATTCAGTTCTAGTTCAGTTCTAGTTCAGTTCCAGTTCAGTTCCAGTTCAGTTCTAGTTCCGTTCCAGTTCTGTTCTAGTTCAGTTCTAGTTCAGTTCCAGTTCAGTTCTAGTTCAGTTCTAGTTCAGTTCTAGTTCAGTTCTAGTTCAGTTCTAGTTCAGTTCTAGTTCAGTTCTAGTTCAGTTCTAGTTCAGTTCTAGTTCAGTTCTAGTTCAGTTCTAGTTCAGTTCTAGTTCAGTTCTAGTTCAGTTCTATTTCAGTTCTAGTTCATTTCTAGTTATAGTTCAGTTCTGTTATAGTCCTATTTCAGTTCTTCTAGTTTACTTCTAGTTCAGTTCAACAAACCAATACAAGAAGTTATTCATTTAGTGGGAATGATTCTCTCCCAAAAGATAATAGTGAATCTCTTACTATAAAACATGTTGATTATGATGACGACCGCTGACGACAAGCGACAAACGAAAAAACTCAATTTTTTTGTCATTTAATCAAAAAAAAAAATAACCATTATGTTATCGTATCATAATGTTTAATGGTTAAAAAGAAACTTCAATTCATAACAATTTTATAACTTATTTAACAAATTATGCGTGTGAAACTTAAAACTTTAAGAATTGATTTAATTTCCTAAAAAAATACCATACTTTAAATTTGCTTTAAAAAACTGTACTGTCCGGCTTATGTACTTAAATGCTTGATTAAACTTTAAAATCTTTTTTATAACCGAAAAAAGCAACAATTGCTAAAAGACACCCTTATTTTCAAATCTTTTAAATATATTAACATAAAATTTAAATAGCTTTAAAAATCACTTGTTTTTATTGACAAAACTTAAGTAAATGAACCCCTTTTTTTGGGAAACAAAATCAAACATATTTTAAGTAAATAAAATTTACATTAAATGCCTCATTTAACTTGAAAAAAGAATTCAAAATTTCCAAGATAAAAACATTTACACAGATAATAAAATACAATAAAGATTTTGGGAAAAATAAATATTTTCTTTAAAGCATGACGCGATACATTTCAAAAATCTATTGTTTTGCTAGAAAATTGGAAATCAATTGTTTATTATTAAGTGTGAACACATTATAATTAAATATAAATTTAGTAATTATACTTTATGGTCACATATAAGGGTCCAAAATGTATATGAAACAATTTTGAGCAGCATAAAAAATTTTAAACTAAAATTGGCAAAGTAATAAATTTACGAATTTACCAGAAAGCAGGAGAAATAAGATTTTGAAATTATGACATTGTTTTATTAAATACAAAACTACACCCCTTAGAAATTCTCTATGGACACATGTTTTTTGAAAATTTCAATTAACTGGACAAGTGCGTTTTTTTTTCAAATTAAAATTGCCAAAAGTAACCAAAAATGTTTAAACATTGGACCTTCAATTGAAAATCATAAGCGTGTTAATCTGATTAATTGTTCTATAACTAAAGCATGATCATGACAATAGATTCGTCTGGCTGGCGGGATGACTGACTGACTGACTGCTTGCCTGGCTGCCTGCTCAAGAGTAGGGTTGTTAATAAAAATTTAAAACAGGATGTATTCATTTTCAACTTGTGGTTGTAGTTTTAACGGTACAATAAAGGTTTCAATTACAAATTAAACAACAACAACAACTACCACTACTTTTCATTTTTCTTGTGAAAAAAAAGACAACCACTTATGTCTGATACTTTATTTTATACTTCTCTTCTCAATAACTGAACACATAAACAAAATATCACATGTCAGTTTGATGTTACAGAAGAAGAGTAAAAAAAAGTTCATTGAAAAGACAAAAATGATTTTGAACCGTAAAAAAAATATTTTAAGATCAACTTCTGGGTTGTTTGCTTAAGCAGGTGGTTGCTTTCGAGAATAAAATGTATCTAGATCAAAAATTTCATTAAAAATATAACAAGGTTCAATAATCTTTAGTTTTAAAGTACATTTTCTAGATATTTTATTATTTTAATGACCTTTTGAAAATCATTGAACTTTCCTATAATTGACAACAGGTTAAAATCATAATTGTTAATCATTCTGTGTAAATGTTTAAGTTCCTAAATTTTCATTGTCCTTTTGAGATATTCCTCATTAGAACTTTCTTCTCTTTTGATCTTTTTGAAATATTTTTAATCTTATAAAAGTTAACAACTTGTTAATCATTTCCTGTGAATGTTTATCTTATTCACTTTCTATCTTTTCCAAATTCTTGATTATATTTTAATCTACTGCTATCAGTTTATGTGATTGTTAAATCAATATCGAAGTTTACTATTTGTTAATCATTCTCTATGAATGTTTAACCTTTAAAAAAGTATTTAAAGTTGCCTATTCTTTATATTTCATTCTCATTTTGAAATATTTTTTCATATAGACTCTCTTCTCGTTTGATATTTTCCAAATTATGCTATCATTTTGGGTGATTATTATAATATTATATAAGTTAACAACTTGTTAATCATTTCCTGTGGATGTTTAAGTCCCAAAATGTTAATTAAATCTAGTATTTCAATTTATTTCATTCATCGTTCTAAATGTTACTCTCCTTTTCTATCATTATTAAATTCCTGATTTACAATTTAATCAAGTTTTACACACAAGCCTTGTTTGCTCATTCTTTATATAGGGTTATCATTTAGTGTGAATGTTAACCATTTATCTGAGAAGTTAATAATATGTTAATTATTTGCTATGAATGTTTATCTTTAAGAAAACTTTTAACTGTTTCCCTTACTTCTATATTTGAAATATTCATTAGGAATAATAAAGCAAACAAGTTAAGGTGTTAATCATTCTCTGTGAATGTTTTTCTTTAAGAAAAATTTACTTTTAACTGGCTCATTTGCTTCTTATTCTTTGCTGAGTGCGTTCCTTTACTAAGTAAACAATATGTAAACAAGATAAAGTTTTTCAATAGTGTTTTTCTTTTAGCTCTTTTTTGCACTGTTCTTTAAGAAATATAAACTTTATTCTCTACTTAAGCCACTGTTTCGCGATATGTTTAATCCTTGTTTTCATTCCTTCTTTTGTTATTTTAATCATTTAGTGTGAATGTTACTCTCAAAAGAAAAACTTAATCTTTCACAGTGAATGTTTAACTTACTTTTAACTGTTTTTTTTTTCTTCTTTGCTTTCAATTTTGCTGTTGACCTCCCTTTTTAAACAATAACAATTTATAAACAAATTTGCAAATTTAAAGCCATTTGTTTTCGTAGTTGTTGTTGTTGTTTTGAACAACCTTTAATCAAAGTAAATGATGTTGCAGTCAGGTCCATTGTATGTTGATTATATGACCGTGGGAAAAATGTACCATCTTCCTTTCCTTTCACATACATATATACAAACTATAAAGAGAGTGATGAGAATGTCAGGGTTAGTGTATAAAGTGTTGGTAGTAAAAAGTGGCTAACTGAAGTACCTTTGACATTAGTGGCGTTCAGTGTTGGCAATTGTTAAAAAGGATGTTGCCAAAAAAACATTTCTTAAAATGTTGCGATAGTAGGGAGCGGATTAGATAATAAGAAAATAAACCCATGTCGAATAACTTTAAATGTCGTTCTCTTCCTCCTTCCCTTTTCATGTAATAATTCGAAAATTACATTATTAAAGCATGATTACAAGAAGAAGAAAATAAACAAAAACAGCAGAAATTTGCTAAAATGTTGCCACACCTAAGTTGGTTTTTTGCTTATGCAAAGTATTGCCATCTAAAAGTTTACTTACAATGAATACCCCTGTTATTTTTGTGGGACTTTGCTAAAGTACAAAAGTTCAACACTTAAATATACTTGTTTCAGTGATTTGTTTCTGTGCATATTGTTGTAGTTTTCTTCCTTTATTTTGTTATTTTTGTTGTTGTTTCCTTAACTGACGAGGTCTTATTAAACTTTAGTTTTTATGCCAAGTGAATGTTTGTACGTTAGCTGGCGCTGCTTAAGCTTCTGCTAAAGCCTCGGCAGCAATTTGTATACACATGTATATAGAGATGTTTGTTGTTGATCATGACGTCTTACAATATGATTGTGTTGATGATGACCTATACCTTTAACAAAAAAAAAACCTCATGGACTTGGCAAGGAATCAGAAAAATGCAAAAAAAGAGAAGATGGTGTTATGATGTGAACCTTTTTTTTGGGCAGCAACAAATTTAAGCAAAAAAAAAACTTAAACAAAATCTGTTCACACATCATATGCTAAAGTTTTTATTTCAGTTTTTTTTGGGAAGTTAGTACCAAGTGAATTATGAGAATTTTTAGGATTTTTATCATTGACTTGACTTTACTATGTTATTAGTGTTGTTGCTGTTATCCCTTTTAGTCTGGTGTGGTTGTTGTTAAATGATAAATCTCATATTACCTGGGAATCAAACTTGGGAAACAAAAAAGGTTAAACTCCTTAGTGACCTTAAGAGATTTTTCAATTTTTTTTTTTGTAATTTTAATTCATAATATTTTAATTTTTATATAATTTGTTTCTATTTCTTTTTAGTGTCACCGTGCCTGGTTATCAGGGTAATTTACAGGCGGCCATTTCACATAGCGCCTCTTTAGCAGCCTGGGAACGTTTTGGTGTGGAATTTATTTTAACATTTGTTGTTGTTCTGACATATTTTGTTTCAACCGATTCCGTTAAAAAAGTTATGGGACATTCAGCCTCCGCCATAGCAGCCGCCTATAGTGCGTGCAGTTTTGTCTCGGTAAGTTAAATATTTGCGAAAAAAATCTGTTTTTTACGAATTTTTTTTTTGTAATATTTTAGCATCTTGTAATTTGTGTGTTTCGTTCCAAAACCAAAAAAACACCTGCTGTTTTGGTATTTTCTTAAACAACTTGGTTTTTGTTTTTTTTTGGTTCATAATAATAATATTGCCAGCAATTTACTAAAGATTTACTTTAACATCTCTCTCGTTAATGTTGTTGAGCTTGTAAAGTCTTAAGGTTTTGTTTTTCTGGGTCTTTAGGTTGTCATATGATTCCCATTTTCATTATAGACAGACAGCCAACCAGCCAGCCAGAGACAGACTTCAAAGGCGGCTTTATTTTTGTATTTTTTTTTATACCTATTTAACATGATGTTTCATTGGGCGACCTTCAATAAAAGTAAACAATTTGGTTTAAGAAACAAAAAAATTATCCTTAATGACCTTAAGATTCATGACAGTAACTAAAAATAGTTAAATTAATGAATTTATGGTCATAAATTAAGCAGACGCTATAGTATTACCAGCAAAAAAACGTTACAATCAAAATTAAACTGCTATTAAGTAAATAACGATATGGCAGCTCTTTTTATAACCGAAATAAGACAACTACTTCTTGGAGCAGTGATGCCTATTTGTTACAAACTTTAAATAATCTTCAATAACCTCTAATTTCTAAAATAGTACAAAATTGACTATAGACTATAGTCAAGACTATAGACTAGACTATAGACTAGACAATAGACTAGACTATAGACTGGACTATAGACTAGACTATAGACTGGACTATAGACTAGACTATAGACTAGACTTAAGACTAGACTTAAGACTAGACTATAGACTAGACTATAGACTAGACTATAGACTAGACTATAGACTAGACTATAGACTAGACTATAGACTAGACTACCGACTAGACTATAGACTAGACTATAGACTAGACTATAGACTAGACTATAGACTAGACTATAGACTAGACTATAGACTAGACTATAGACTAGACTATAGACTAGACTATAGACTAGACTATAGACTAGACTATAGACTAGACTATAGACTAGACTATAGACTAGACTATAGACTAGACTATAGAGTAGACTATAGACTAGACTATAGACTAGACTATAGACTAGACTATAGACTAGACTATAGACTAGACTATAGACTAGACTATAGACTAGACTAGACTAGTATAGACTAGACTATAGACTAGACTATAGACTAGACTATAGACTAGACTATAGACTAGACTATAGACTAGACTATAGACTAGACTATAGACTAGACTATAGACTAGACTATAGACTAGACTATAGACTAGGCTATAGAATAGACTATAGACTAGACTATAGAGTAGACTATAGACTAGACTATAGACTAGACTATAGACTATACTATAGACTATACTATAGACTAGACTATAGACTAGACTATAAACTAGACTATAGACTAGATTATAGACTAGACTATAGACTAGACTATAGACTAGACTATAGACTAGACTAGACTAGACTATAGACTAGACTATAGACTAGACTATAGACTAGACTATAGACTAGACTATAGACTAGACTATAGACTAGACTATAGACTAGACTATAGACTAGACTATAGACTAGACTATAGACTAGACTATAGACTAGACTATAGACTAGACTATAGACTAGACTATAGACTAGACTATAGACTAGACTATAGACTAGACTATAGACTAGACTATAGACTAGACTATAGACTAGACTATAGACTAGACTATAGACTAGACTATAGACTAGACTATAGACTAGACTATAGACTAGACTATAGACTAGACTATAGACTAGACTATAGACTAGACTATAGACTAGACTATAGACTAGACTATAGACTAGACTATAGACTAGACTATAGACTAGACTATAGACTAGACTATAGACTAGACTATAGACTAGACTATAGACTAGTCTATAGACTAGACTATAGACTAGACTATAGACTAGACTATAGACTAGACTATAGACTAGACTATAGACTAGACTATAGACTAGACTATAGACTAGACTATAGACTAGACTATAGACCACACTATAGACCACACTATAGACTAGACTATAGACTTTACTATAGACTAGACTATAGACTAGACTATAGACTAGACTATAGACTAGACTATAGACTAGACTATAGACTAGACTATAGACTAGACTATAGACTAGACTATAGACTAGACTATAGACTAGACTATAGACTAGACTATAGACTAGACAATAGACTAGACTATAGACTAGACTATTGACTAGACTATAGACTGGACTTTAGACTGGACTATAGACTAGACTATAGACTAGATAATAGACTAGACTATAGACTGGACTATACACTTAACTATAGATTAGACTATGGACTATACTATAGACTCGACTATAATCTGGATTATATACTAGACTACAATCTGGATTATATACTAGACTAGACTAGACCATATTAAAGACTAGACTATAGTCTGGACTATAGATTCTGCACTAGCTTATAGTTAGGACAACATACTGGAATATAGGACTAAAGGCTAGACTAAAGTCAGGACTATAATCTGTACTATAGACTAATCTATGGTCAGGATTATAGACAACCTTAGTCAAGTCTATATACATGTAAGAACATAGACTACACTATAGTGAAGACTGTAAAATAGGTTTTAGTTAAATCAATAGACTAAAGTTGAATCTATATCATGAAACCTTAAATTGATTCCACAATAATCCCCTTGTAAATATTCAAAATAATAACAAATATTTAACAAAATGACTGATTTCCAATTTGCATCCCCTAATGACATTTTTCCAAAAACAACAACAAATAAAAACCTGATTTGAACTACTAGATAAAAACACTATAGCTATTTTTGAAAAGAACACTCTTTGCACCATGACAATTTTTGCACAGGTTTTCCTGAATTGTTTACCGAGAACAAAGGGAAAAAATAAAGTGCGTAGATGAAAAAAAAAAACCTGCAGCTGTTTGCAGGTACCTGCTTTTAAATAATGAATGGCAAATGAAAGGAAATCCAACACAATTTTCAGTAAAACGAGAAACTGTGGGAAAATCTTTAGGCAGCTGTTTAGGAACTTAAACACAACAACACATACAGATTAAAATAGATCCTTTGTGATTTTAATAGTAAATTATAGATCCTTTTTGTAATGTAATGTTTCATTTTTTTCTTTTATTCTTCTCAAATTACAGATGCCATATTTAAATCCTGCACGCTCATTGGGTCCATCTTTCGTTTTAAATAAATGGGATAATCATTGGGTGTATTGGTTTGGTCCTTTAGTTGGTGGCATTGCTTCGGGCATTGTTTATGAGTTTATTTTCAATACCAAACGAAATGCTCGCCATATTAAGGCCTCCATGGATAATGAATCTTCTTCGATTAATTCCGAGGATGAATTGAATTATGATTTGGATATGGAAAAACAAAATATGCATGGCAAATATCCGGGAACTTTCCAGAGAGCACAAGCCGCCAATACGGCACCTACCCAAAATCCTGCTACTAATGCAGCAGCTAATGGCAATTACTGTCAAAATCTCTATACAGCACCACCCAAATTTGATCAGGCTGAACCATTATATGGTGGCACTCGTTCCATGTATTGTCGTTCCCCCACCTTGACACGCACTAATTTGAATCGTTCGCAATCGGTTTATGCTAAAAGTAATACTGCCATTAATCGTGATATAGTGCCACGTTCGGGTCCTTTGGTGCCAGCTCAAAGTTTATATCGCATGAATGCTCAACAGAATCATCAGCAACAACAGCAGCAGCAGCAACAGCAACAACAACAGCAGCAACAACAGTCTTCTCATTTGCAAAATCAGAACTTACAAAATCAATTGCAACAGAGATCGGAAAGTATCTATGGTGTACGCACTTCGACCAGACAAAATCAACAGCAACAACAGCAGCAACAACATCAAACTCAAATGCAACATGTAGGACAACTAATGCCACACCCACAACAACAACCACCACCACAGCAGCAGCAGCAACAACAACAGCCTCCACAACATGCCACACAAGACAATTCTCAAGGTTTCCAGGCAGTTTATGGCACCCGTCACAATCCTAATCCCATGGATGGTAATACGAAATACGATCGTCGTCCTGAATCGGTTTATGGCATGACAGTACCCCGTAATCGTGGCCAATCTGCACAATCAGATGATAGTTCTTATGGTTCTTATCATGGTTCCTCAGTAACTCCACCCGCCCGTATACCCAGCACAGAACCACCAATGTTGTTGTACAATCCTCCTCCACAACCAAATCACAATCAAGTGTCTTCCACAAATCCCTCAGCCATGAGAACACAATCGGAACGTAAAGTTTCGGCGCCAGTAGTATCATCACAAGCCTCCTCAGTAACCTCCACAACTGTGGGTCAATATACCACAAGTCAAGGACCACCACAGGGGCCACCTTCTTTACAACAACAGCAACAGATGATGGTACACCAACAACAACAGCAGCAGCAGCAACAACCACCTCCACCTCATCCCCAGCAGCAGCAACAGCATCAACATTACGGCATGTTGCCTATGAGATCCAATTGAAAAAGGCTTTCCTGGAGCCCGGCTCTAAATGAATGTGCGAGAGAAACATCATTGTCAATTGTACTTGAGAAGTTTTCCTTAAAAGAGACTGAGGACAAAGAGGAATAGTTAAAATAATCGTTAAAAAAAAAAACTTTCACTAAAGTGTTTCGATTCCACAACACTAAAGGAATTGAAACGAAAAATTGAATAAATTGTCATGACACTTTCAACTGCTCTTTCTCTTTTAGCATAAAAATAATACATTTTTTAAAAACAATTGACAATAATGTTTATAAAATTAAAACTGCAAACACGATGATCATTTCACTACACTTTCCACTACCTTAACCCTTTAGGGGAAAACTATTTATATAAAGTCTCAAGAGTTTATCAAAAAAAGTGTTCAGTTTTAATATTACATCTCCAAACGCCCAAAACAAAACAAAAAAAGTCTTTCGAATCTATAGGCCTTTACAGCCCCTAAACTACATAGATTATAGTAATGTCCAAAGGAACTCTCATTCACTAATTAAAACCTAAAAACTGTAGTATAACAATAATGCAAGGTATCAGCGTTTAAATATTAAATCCCTTCTTTTAGTTTAGTCCAACTTTAGCATTAATAAAACAAACAAATCAATAACATTTTATAGAAACGTTATGGAATGGAACCATTAACCTTGCAAAAGTCATTTGTTTAACCCACAATTATACATATACTAAAACCCATAGTTTATTTTAATCATAACCTTAAAATATGAATTTATTCTTAATATTAAATCATAATATTGTGCAAATATGTATGTAACAGCTTTTTTTTTTAAAAAATAACACAAATAATTCATAAAAATATTTGTCCAATTCACAATCGGCATTGTATTGTTGTATGTCATAACAATAAACAATTACAATATACAACGCTACCATGCCCATTGTAAAATGGGCAATTATATGTTATAAAATTCTAAAATAAATGCATTTATTTGTATAATTTAAACCAAGTTTAGACTGACTAACGTTTTCCTTTTTTTTAATATAACTATTTAACTTTTAAGTAAGTTTAAGTTTTCTTAGTTTCTTTTAAACTTAAGCTTAAAACTCTGTCACATTAGTTGGATATTTTATTATAATTTTAGATAGTTTTTAATAAAATGTATGTGTAAATAGTAATTATTTTTATTATTATATTAAGTTTAATTAATTATAATTATGTTTCCCTAAGAATTGTATGTAAAAATTAATATAGTTAATGAAAAAAAAAAAATATTTACAGAAAAATATATAAATTCTCTATATCGAAAAAGAAATAAATCATTATTATTTGAATGGGTATATATACGAATTCTTCTTCTAAAGACAACACTCCTAGACAACACTATAGTCAAGACTATTAAGAAGATTATAGGCAAGATTATAGTCAAGACCATGAACTTGAATTGAAAATATTAGGAGAAAGTCTTTCGACAACACTATTTATTAGACTCAAGTCAAGATTATATACAGAACTATCGATTATATTCAAGACTATAGCGAAGACTATAAACAAGATTATCGTCACGACTATAGATTATATTAAATACTATAGATTGGAATATATTCAAGACCACTGACAAAACTATAATCAAAACAGAATATAGATTAGACTAAGTATAGTCAAAGCTATAGTAAATACTATAAACTAGACTAAAGTCAAGACTGTAGGATAGGACTATCGATTGTATTCAAGGCCATAGATTATATTAAAGACCATAGTCAAGACTATATACTAGATATAATCAATACCATAGACAACACTGTAGATAAGTCAATAGAAAATACAAGAAAATACTATAAACAAGACTATAGATTAGGTTAGGTTGATAGCAGGATGTATACTACATCAAATCCGAAGAAATACACCTAGGCCACTATCGGACCTGTTGTGCGCTCCTTATCATGAAAAAAAAGTTCACTGAATGAATTATTTTTCAGTGTTCAGAAACTCAGTTTCCTGATCGTACTTCCTAAGAATCTTCCAATCAGTGTTAGTCAGGAATGTTATTTCCGGAATAACATCACTTCCAAGATACTTGGATTTAACTTCGACGAATGCCTGGCAGTGGCAAAGAAAGTGCTCCAGAGTTTCACTGTCCTCTCCACGTCCAAATTTGCATAGATGTGCTCGTAATCCTGTGTGTCCACTCAGAATACGTACCATCATACTAACTTCAGACTTGCTCATTTTGAGGAGATTTTTCGTCTTGCTCTCATCAGGGTCACCCCATAGGATCTTCGTGGTTCTACCCACTGTTTCATTATTCCAAGAGGCCTTATGGGATTCTCTCACCCATATTTTTAGTTCAGCTTTTGTTGCTTCGAATGGTTTTGCGTTTGTCAGGTTAACTGCCTCGAGCTCCCTTCCCTTTAAAGCTATTACATTCGCCCTTCGTTACCGACTACTCCCGAGTGGGCTGGTACCCATATGATGTGAACCTTACCTCTGGGAGAGTATTCAGTTAAAGCTTTCTAGAGACAAGACTATAGTCAAGACAATTAGCTAAACCATAGTCTAGACTATAGACAGCACCACGAACTCTTCTGGTATAGACAGTATTATGGACAAGACTGTAGACTAGAACACTATTAAGTAACTTGACTATAGTCAAGATTATGGACAGTACTATCGATTATATTCAAGACTATAGACAAAACTACAGCCAAGACTATAAACTAGACGATATTCTAGACTATAGCCAAGACTGTAGTTTTTACAATGGGCAAGACAATAGTCAATGCTCTAGAAGAGACTATAGCCAAAGCTATAGCTAAGGATATAGACTAGACTATAATTAAAGCTTTAGTAAATACTAAGACAACACTATAATCTAGACAAAAGTCAAAACTACAAACAAGACTGCTAATAATCCGGACTATAGACAATACTTTATTCAAGGCCATAGATTATATTTAAGACTATAGACTAGATATAGCCAATACGATAGTCAAAACTAATGACAAGTCGATGGAAAAGACTATAGACAAAACTATGTTAAGACTATAGACAAGAATATAGCAAAGACCACAAACTCTCCAACAATAGACAAGGTTATAGACAAGAATATAGACAAGAATATAGAAAACATTATAAATGACACAAGCACGAACTCTCCTCCAATAGAAAAGACTATTTACAATTCTATAGACAAGACTATAGTCTAGACTCTAGACCACAAACAAGATTATGGACAAGGCTATACACAAGGCTTTAGTTAACATTATAGGCAAGACCACAACTCTGCTCCAATAGACGAGATTATAGACAGCACTATAAAATAAAGACTATATTTGATACTATAGACTTGATTATATTCGTGAAGTTAGACAAGACTTAAGAAAAGACTATAGACTAGATATAGTCAACAGTATATACTATAGTCAAAACTATGTCATGACTATAGACAAGACTACATCCAAGACTATAAACTAGTCTATATTCGACTATAATCAAGACTAAAAACGAGACTATAGTCAAAGCTATAGCAAAGAATATAGACTAGACTTTAATTATAGGCAACACTATAAACGAGACTAAAGTCTAGACTATAGACAAGACTATAGATTATATTCAAGGCTATACATTATATTAAGAACGATGGTTAAGTTTATCGACTATAAATAGTCGATACTAAGGTATTCAATTATTCGGGTTTTTGCCTTAATCGGTTTATTCCACAAATAATTATTTAAGGTTTTATGTTAGCCGGTTAATAATCGGATAAATCAAATTATTCGGTTAATCGAATAAAAGGAGACTTATTTTTTTATTGATCTTTACATTATATATATGTACACCACTATAGTGGGGAAGGTATTATGCGTTTGTGCTGAGGTTTGTAACACACATAAATAGTGATCATACACCCAGCCTTAAGTATACTAATGGACTCAGAATAACTTTCTGAAGTTTAGCACATACTCTTCTTTTGTCCCAAGGACGAACACTATTGAAAATAGTTGAAATCGGTCCATTATTTCGCCTAGTCCCCGTACAACAGACCGACATTGACAACTTTTGTAATGATCGGGCCTTATTGATCCTGGCTCCCACACAAACTCAAATTCAGAAAATGGCTTGAAGGTCAAAATAACACGATTAAATTGTACATATATAACTTTTAAGTATACGTTAATTCCTCTGCCAAAATTAGTCCCATATTTACCCTTAACCCCATATAAGCCCTCTTGTAGAAACAAATTAAATGCTTTATTATTTAAAAATAATCCACAATTTAAACATACTCACTGGTGTAGGGTATCGGTCATGCCCGACTATACATTCATACTTGTTTTCATCCTATACTCAACAAAATTATAGTTTTCCGCTTCTTAACTACAATTCTATGTAAATTTTTTAATAATTTTTTTGGCTAAAAAATTAGAAATTATTTCTGTCCATGCGAAATCATTTTTTATATAAAAACAAGTAAGAGTTCTATATTCGGCTGTGCCGAATCTTATATACCCTACACCATGATGTGTTAAAAACATAAACAAAACTTGTATGTGTTCACACCTAATCCGGGCTCTACATACTAAATTTCATGTTTCTAGCCAATAACAACATACTGCTTCGTTCGTAACGTGACGTCATGCTCAGCTTTGTTTTTATAAACAAGTACAATAACAAAATTTACCGTATGATTATGTATTTGTTGTTGTTTACAGTTTCTGTCTGAACATGAATAAAAAATCTAAATTTTTCATGAAATTTTCAGAGGTGGTCTCGGATTTTTGCTCATATCTCCGCTATTCGATCGTATTTCCAATAGAATTATTGAAAATTCGGATCCCGCAGATAACGGGGGTCTTCTGAAAACTGACTTCAACATACACACAGACAGACAGACAGACGGACATGGCTAAATCGACTCCGCTATCTATAAGGATCTATAGTCTAGTCTATAGTCTAGTCTATAGTCTAGTCTATAGTCTAGTCTATAGTCTAGTCTATAGTCTAGTCTATAGTCTAGTCTATAGTCTAGTCTATAGTCTAGTCTATAGTCTAGTCTATAGTCTAGTCTATAGTCTAGTCTATAGTCTAGTCTATAGTCTAGTCTATAGTCTAGTCTATAGTCTAGTCTATAGTCTAGTCTATAGTCTAGTCTATAGTCTAGTCTATAGTCTAGTCTATAGTCTAGTCTATAGTCTAGTCTATAGTCTAGTCTATAGTCTAGTCTATAGTCTAGTCTATAGTCTAGTCTATAGTCTAGTCTATAGTCTAGTCTATAGTCTAGTCTATAGTCTAGTCTATAGTCTAGTCTATAGTCTAGTCTATAGTCTAGTCTATAGTCTAGTCTATAGTCTAGTCTATAGTCTAGTCTATAGTCTAGTCTATAGTCTAGTCTATAGTCTAGTCTATAGTCTAGTCTATAGTCTAGTCTATAGTCTAGTCTATAGTCTAGTCTATAGTCTAGTCTATAGTCTAGTCTATAGTCTAGTCTATAGTCTAGTCTATAGTCTAGTCTATAGTCTAGTCTATAGTCTAGTCTATAGTCTAGTCTATAGTCTAGTCTATAGTCTAGTCTATAGTCTAGTCTATAGTCTAGTCTATAGTCTAGTCTATAGTCTAGTCTATAGTCTAGTCTATAGTCTAGTCTATAGTCTAGTCTATAGTCTAGTCTATAGTCTAGTCTATAGTCTAGTCTATAGTCTAGTCTATAGTCTAGTCTATAGTCTAGTCTATAGTCTAGTCTATAGTCTAGTCTATAGTCTAGTCTATAGTCTAGTCTATAGTCTAGTCTATAGTCTAGTCTATAGTCTAGTCTATAGTCTAGT